CAGACCACACAGGTCGCAAGCGCCATAGTATAATTGCTTTTTCTTTTGTTATTTAATTTTTTTTTTCCAAAAACAAAAAAGTTGATTTCAACAAATTTTTAGTTGCTTTGTGCACGATAGAATATAGCTTTTATGCGTTTTTTCTTTTTTTTTTTTGCATCTGTACAATGCAGAAAACGCATATTGACGAGGGGTTGTCTGTGTATATGTTGTGCCTATATGTTCGTCTGTACCGGTTTTTCATCTCGAGACCTACAAAAGATACAGGGCTGAAACTTTGGGAACTTAATTTGCATACGTGTACAGGCCCACATCCCCGGAATAATTGCTCTTATTCGTGTGGTACCCAAGTAATTTCCCGTGAAACTTTTTTACGGGTAGGTTATTAACTCGGGAACCTGACAAGCTAGAAGACTTTAATTTTAAGCAAATGTTCCCCATCTACTCGGGAACCAGGAAGGCTAGAAAGCTAGATTTTAGGGGGATGTTTCCTGACACTTCTGTCGACCTGACTCAATTCTTTTTGGCTAGAAGCATCAGCCGGAAGACCAGTGCTGTTAGCGATAAAAACCTGTGAGGAAATAAACAGATAAATGGCGCGCACCCATGCAAATAAACAGCGGCGCGCACCAGGGTAGCCGGTGCGATCATGCGTTTTGTGCAATTCCGTTCGCCGAAAAATTGCTTGCTAATGATTTTCACTGCCCCGCCGAAACTTTCACGGGGCCGTAAGTGATACTTGGACGTGCGGAAAGCTGAATTTAAAATTGCAGAGTTGTATGCGGACGGAAGACATTACCATAAAATTTAGCTTCTGGCTGTTATGGTTCCCGAGATAATAATTTCCCCGCCAGAATTTTCACGAGGCCGTAGGCGGTGCCCGAAAGCGCGGGGACGCTGAATTTGAGCGGGCAGGGGTTATTATACGAGAATTTTAGCTTCGTGTATTCAGTGGTTCCCGAGACAATAATTTACCCGCCAAAACTTTCGTGAGACTGTAGGTGATGCCCGAAAGCGCGGGAACGCTAAATTTGGAATTTGAATGGGCAAGGCCGAGCGTGAGCAGGGGATTATTACACTAAAATTTCAACTTTGTATATTCAGTGGTTCCGAAGATAATAATTTACCCACGAAAATTTTCACGGAACTGTTCGTGTTACCTGCGAGCAGAAAAAGGCTGGATTTAAATTTTCTGGGTCGCATGTGGGCAGAGGACACGCCCACAAAATTCCAACTTTCTGGTTTCCGTGCTTTCCGTGACAATAATTTTATCTTCCTAAACTTTTACCTGCGGGTACAGGGAGGCTGAATTTAAATTTGCGGAGTCACACGTGGTGGGCAATGCTCCCCTAAATTTTCAGCTTCCTAGCTTTTGTGGTTCCCGAGTTGAAAGATGTGGACAAGTTGTTGCGGACACACACACACACACACACACACACACAGACGATCCCGTGTCAGTACGCGTTTTGTACTGCTGTTGCACAGTACAAAACACATAAAAACGCAACTTCGTACCGGCAGTCTGTGCGCTGGCCGTTTATTTACTGTATGTGACCTGTAAGTTAGCTGAAAAAGGTAACGGCCTAAATAGCTGTCGGACTTTAAAGGCCATGCTCCAAATGTCTGCTTCTCGGGATGTCAGCCTAATAATTTGATTTCTGTCATTTTTCTCCC